TTTCTACCAGTACCAAGTTGTTTTATAGTTTATTGTTTTGTAGTATATTTTGAGATCTGATACTATGAGGTGTCTTTCTTGCTTCCTTTTTTCATTATTTCTCTTGAGATTCTTGACTCCTTGTTCCTCCAGAAGAATTTTTTCTAGTTCTATAAAATATAAGCAAAACTAGAACTAGTTCTGTAAACCTTTAGTAGTTTGATTGGTATAGAACTGAAGAAGTAAATTAATTAAATAGCATTATAGCATTGCCATTTTATATGATCTTAGCTCAGCCTCTCCATAAGCAATAATATTTCTCCAAATATTTAGTCTGTTTATTTCCTTAAAGAGTGTTTCATAGTTGTATTCAGATAGTTCCTGCATTTCTTGATATGTAGTGTTCCAAGTATTTAATTCATTCTGTAGTTATTTTAAATCTATTTTCTTCTCTTTTAATCTCACTGCTAGGTTTCACTGGTAATATACAGAAATGCTAATGATTTGTGTGGATTAATTTTATGTTGTATAAGTCTGCTGAAGTTATTCATTTTTCAATACATTTTTAGTTGGCTCATTAGTATTTTCTAAGTACATCATCATGTTATCTGTGAAAAGTGATAATTTTTTCTTCCTTTTCTTTGTTTATTCCTTTACTATCTTTGTGGTAACCAAAATGCTTAGATAGCATTTTAGCACTATGTGAAATGATAATGATAACCCTGAGTATCCTTGCTTTACTCTTAATCTTATTGGAAAGGACTCTGGTTTATCCTCATTACATATATTGCTTGCTGTTGGTTTTAGATATACACTATTTACTTTTTCAAGGAAGAGTCTATCTATTCCTATGATTACTAGTATTTTTTAAAAAACAGAAATGAGTATTGTATTTTAATAAGTTTTTTCTTTGTCCATTGATATAATCATATAATCTTTGTTCTTCTTGTATTTATTTAAATTAGCCATTTCATATGGTCAGTTATGTTGAAAATTTTCCTAATATGAAATCAATCCTACATACCTGATATAAATCCAGCTTGCTCATGTTGTATTATCTCTATGATATATTGCTGTAATCTCTTTGCTAATATTTTATTTAAAATTTTTGCATTAGTGTTCATTAGGGATATTTGGACTATAGTTTTCTCACTCTATTTTGACCTTCCTGGTTTGTGTATAAAGACTGCATTTGTGTGATAGAAGCCCAGCTTGCAGTTAAAAAAAATTCATTGGGCTTCTACCCCCTCCATAATAACAATAAATGACATTTATATTGTACTTTCAGATTTATAAATGCCTTACATACTCCTCATTTTAGCATCATAACAATTCTGTAAGTTAAATGTTACAGCTATAATTAACTCCATTTAGTAGATTAGGAAACTGAAGAAGGTAAAAGAAGTTAAGTAATCTGCTCAGGGTAACTCATCTAGTAATTGGATGAGGCAGGATTTACAAAATCAGATTTTTTTTTGCTTTTAATCCTTTTATATTTTTCTTTTATTATCTTTAATTTAATTTATGGAATAAAACAAGTGTTTCCATAACATAGTATAATAAAAAAAGATGATTGCAAGTGAAACTGCAAATATACTCTATATAACTTGTTATTCCTCTTAAATATACAACACTTATCATGTAAATTTCTTTTTTCCTTCTTTCCCCATCCTAAAAATGACCACCATTATATACAAATACACACACACACACACACATATATACATATACACATACATATATATATATATATATATATATATGTGTGTGTGTGTGTATGTGTGTGTGTGTGTGTGTAAATTTATTCCTTACATACATCTACTTGTCAATTCTTTCTCTGGATGCAGATAATCTTTCTTCGTATGTCCTTTATAGGTAATTTGGATATTTATAATAGCCAAAATAACTTATTTACTCAAAGTTGTTCTTAAAACAATATTCCTGTGTTATACTACTACTACTACTACTAATAATATATCATCATAATCATCATTATGGAATCACAGAATTTGAAAGTTGGAAGAGACCTCAGCCACTATCTACTCCATCTCATACCCAAAAGGAATCCCTACTATAACATAGCTGATAAGTGTTCATTTAGCTCCTGCTTTAGATCTCCAAGGCAGTTGACCCCACAATCTCCCTAGGTGAGAAAACCTTTCTCAACATTATGTCTAAATTGGGTTCCTTGTAAATTCCAGCCATAAGAGTTAGTTCTACCCACTGGGATAAAATAAAGCAAGTTTGATCCCTCTTCCACGTGAAAACATTTCAAGTATTTGGACACAGGTATCATGCTCTTTTCCATACCTAGCCACCTTAGACTCCAGAGTCTTCTCTTCTCCAGGCTAAATATTCACAGTTCCTTCAACTGTTCCTTATATGAAATGTATTCAAGGCCCTTGTCTAGATGCTGCTCAGCTTACCAATGTCCTTCTTAAACTATGGATTTGTACTCAGTTCTTCCTGATTCCATTCCCTGCTCTCTATTTCCTCCACCTAGGCCTGTGGGTATGCTAGCCTCTTCCTGTCCCTTTATCATTTACCTTTAGTTACCATTTCTCCTACTCAGCATGGTCAGCCTTTTTTCCTCTCTGACTCTTTATCCAACTTCTGACCACAGAATTCCACTTCCTAGAGCCCTTCTCAACCACTATCACAATACGATTTTATAATACTCTGGTATAATTTGCAGATTATTTATTTGTGGAATATTTGTAGATCTGGGGTGGGTGGAGTTTTCATCACTCGATGTGTATACATTGCACTAGAATGACTGGGCTCTCTAAAAGCATCCCTGTGACAACATGAATAGTCTTTCTGAAAAAAAAAATAACCAACTACTTTTAAAGAAAGATTCTAATAAATCCTGAACATTTTTCTCTGACACCAGTGATGCTAGTCAAATTCTTAGTAATTATTCTAACAGACTAAAGGATAAGACACTAAGTAAAACTAGCCTTGAGGATAGCTATCTCTAAAGAATATGAAATGAGGCTCCCTGAGGCATCAAATAGAAAGATGATGGGAGATAGAATTATAATTGCTGCTATATTGGTGCCTTAAGCATTTCCTGTTTCCTATAACATCTTTAACTAGAGAGTTTCGTTAAGTGGTTTCACTTCTTTCTTCCCCTTCTATCTTCATTATTTCCTTTTCTTTTAAAGATCTCTGTAATTAATTTTTTTTTCTTGTTGAGTTTTCTCCTTTTATAATCTGGCTGGTCTTTTGTGGTGAAGGTGGGGTGAGAGAAATCTAAGACTAATAGTTTCTTTTCCAAGTAGGGGGTGGAAAATAGAATTAGATTTAGAAGACCTAGAGACTTAAATGGGATTCTAACTTATTCTCAGTGTACTTATTAAAAACATTTACACTAGCCACCTTGAGGGGTTTTAATGAGAAATAGAATGATTTAATGTGTGATTAAGCAGATAATGCACTCTGTAAACGATAAGGCTCCATAGTAAACATTGCCGTTTTGTCCCTACCACTGATTTCATCAGTCTAGTGAACTCCCTATGAAGAAATATCCTCTACCAATACAGACCATGAGTGATTCTGCAATTTGTAGTCTTAGAGTTGCCTGCAGACACTGAAAGGTTAAGTGATTTGCTTAGAATTACACAGTATATATCTGAGGTAGGACTCAAACCCTGAACTTCCTTATTTGAAAGACACCTTTCCTAGCTACTAAACCATTCACCTCTCTATAGTAAGGCATTATTATTAGCATGGGACAGCTAGAAGACATAGTGGATAGAATGCTGAGGCTGGATTCAGGAAGACTCATCTTCCCTAGTTCAAATCTGGCCCCAGAAATTACTAGCTGTATGACCCTGGGCTAGTCACTTAACCTCATTTGCCTCAGTTTCCTCATCTGTAAAATGAGCTGGAGAAGGAAATGGTAAACCACTCCAGTATTATTGCCAAGAAAACCCCCAATGGGGTCAGAAAGAGTTGGACATAACTGAAACAATTCAGCAACAAAAAATTATTATCACTCTTTAGCTATATGTCTCCATATCAGCCATTAGCATCCTCACTTGCTGAGCATTCATTGTGTTATTTTACTGGATACTGTATATCCAGTAAACTAAGTATAAAAATGGTAGTACTTGGAAGGAAACTTAGGAAACATTTGTAATATTCAAAATCATGTATTAATTAATTGCTATATGCTAGATACTGTGCTAAGGGATAGATATGCAAAGAAAGGCAAAAACAGTCTCTGTCCTCTAAGGGCTCACAAGATAAGCATCAAAATAATTAGTTACATAGAAGACATAAATAGAGTAGAAGGAAAGTAATTTCAGTGGGAAAGGCACTAGCAGCTGCTGAACAGAAAAACAAAGTATTTTAGAAGGTGTTAGGTACTTTAGCTGAGCCTTGAAGAAAGCCAGGGAAAAAGAGGTAGATCAGAGAAGGAAGGGCATTCCAGGTATGGGAGACAGCCAAAACAAAAACACAGAGACTGGAGATGGATACTGTAAGCAAGGCAAGGAGGCCAGTTTGTCAACATTATAGATCTTGTTAAGAACAATAAAGTATAAGAAGATTGGAAAGGTAGGAAGGCTCCATACGTACACACATATATGTTCATATGTTGTTTTCCCCATTAGATTGTGAGCTCCTGTAGGGCAGCAAATGTCTTTTGCCTCCTTTTGTATCCCCAATACTTAGCACAGTGCCTGACACACAGTAGTCATTTAATAAATGCTTATTGATTGATTGATGGGTTATTAGATCCCATTAGGAAGCAATTACTTGTACATTTAAAATAAAATTTTAATGTACACACATATATATGTGTATCTCTATCTATGTCTATACCTATATATTCCTAACCAATATATTGTGGGATATACATTTCCAGAAATATCAATATATTAAAAAAAAGTTTTAGGAACTATTGCTTCCTTTGGGGAATTCATATTATATTTTAATAAAAGTCTAGTTTACAAAGCACTTTCCTCACAACACTTCTGTGAACATTTTGTATTTTTATCTTTTCCATTTCACAGATAAGAAGACCGAAGCTCAGAAAAGTCTTGCCCAAATTTACACAGGGACTTACTAGCAGAGTTAGGATGTGAACCCTATGAAATAAAATCGATGGTGGCCGTAGGAAGGATCTGGTAAGATGTTTCCTGTGTTTCTTCCCAGTTTTCCTCTCCAAGAATCATGTTTTTATCTGATATTACAGGCTTATTTTGGTTTCAGAGGCTCAAGGCCTTCTCATACTCTATGCTCTATTACAAACTGAAAATCAGTCCTGGGAGTAAATGTCTTCTTATATTTTGACAGTGATCCTTGTCAGTCATGGAAGCTTTAGGAATTAAATAAAGTTGAATTTTACTCTTACATCTTTTGCCTTCTAGCAATTAGTTTTCATGTGTAGCTATAGTTCAATTAAAAAAAATGCCTTTGCCTTTCATTTCTGGATATATAATAATTTTAAAACCAACTTTTCTTTGATTTTCCTCTGTTTAATTTAGAATCAGAGTTTTTAAGACAGTGTGAGATCTGAGATAATTTTGTTCATTTACTTTACTGAAGCCCAGAAGTGTTAAGTGTTATATTCAAAAATTACCTAGCTGATTATTTGCAGGGGTCAGGACTAAAACAGAGCATTGTTCTCCAGCCTTCTCCTGTGGTGTTTTGGGCCCTGCATCATTCTGTCTCCGTGCTAGCTTTACACTGACTACGATTGTCTGTCAACAGTTGTCCATTAGCCAATCTCTCCACTTTATATTTACCATTTGAGGGATTAATTGATTATTTAGAAGAGATTCTGCTTTCTAATTTGAAAACTATTATTTAGTCAAAAACCTCATTGAAGAACATATTTGGCAGGAGAACTACTGACCTAATTAATAAGTTTTTAAATTATTATTTTAATTATATTTATATATTTAATATGCTAATGAATTAATATAATGAAAGTTTTAAATTAAATTTTGAAGGGAAGGAAAAAAGCCAAACTAAAAGCACAAAATCACATAATAATGGAGGCCTATATCTGTGTCATAGTGAGAGGGGAAGGGAGCAAGCATTTATTAAGCACTTGCTATGTGTCAGACTCTGTGTTAAATGTTTACAAATACAATAATCCTGAGAGGTAAGTGCTGTTGTTATCCCCATTTTACACATGAGGAAACTAAAGCAGACAGAATTTAAGTGACTTGCCCATGGTCACATAGCTAGTATGTGACTGAGACTGGATTTGAACTCAGGTCTTCCTGACTCTAAGCCAAATTTTCTATCCACTGTTTCATCCATGTACCTCTCATAGAGAGAAACAATGTGGTTAAAGTAGTAACCAGTGATTTTTGTGTAAAGATTAGTCTGGAATAATATTTAAGGCCTTAGATATCTGTATGTCAACACATAGAGCTTGTGTAATAAAATAAACTAATCTTAGAATCTTTACACAAGAAATTAAATACAATCTCTTTAGAATAGAGCTTAGTATCAAATAAATGGAAAGATACATCTTATACCAAAAAACAAAAACAAAAAAAGGACCTAAAAGAAGAGATAGGTGATAAATACACACACACACACACACACACACACACACGCACACATACACACATGTATGTGTATGTGTGTATGTATGTACATATGTGTATATATACAGATCTATGTATATGTATACATATGTGTAATAGTGGAAAGCATAAAAGGAGAGAGAAACAAATGAAATTATTATTTGAGCCTACTCTATATCAGTGGAGTCAAATTTAAATAGAAACGAGGTCACTAAACAATAAATTAGGATCCCTGTGAAACATATTTTGACTTAGAAATCCACATATTAAGATTACCTATGTTCCATTGTATTTTTATTTATTTTGCTAAATATTTCCCAATTATATTTTACTCTGATTCTGCTGCATATGGGTGTGTTGTGGGTCAAGTGTTTGACAACTCTGCTTTAGACTGTTCAGTCAAATGGTGTATACAGATGATGCTCTCCTGAATGTGCTAGATTTGGGATTCTAGTGAACATAAAGAAAACCTCACATTAAGTTAACATATCATAACTACAAGGTTTATTGACAATATTCAAATTGATTTGGTGGACATATTCATATAAAAAAGGTACAAGACATAGAGGTCCTATTTTACTGCCATCCCATGTTACCACTTTGGCTGTATTCAGGAAAATGAAGCTGCAATCTAACTACAATCCAGACAACTAGTTCTTTTTAGGTAAGAGGTGGCTTGCAGATGTCGGGAAGTTTATACTGAAGAAGACAAGGTAAGCCAAATGCTTTTATAGATACACCAATTTTGACTAGGTCACTTAAAACTAAACACTGCGGTTTGCTAAGGGTAAAAAAAAATCCATTTTTATTGTATCAATTGTTCTTTGAATCCCTTATTATTAAGGTATTATTACTCAGTCTCCGTTTAAGCAAATGTTTTTATTTCTATTTCCCTTAATCAACAAATCAAGAATACTAGTCACAAGTTTGGAATGCCAACTTTGTGCCAGGCATTGTAGGAAGTGTCAGGGTTACACATATAAAAGTCAGTTCCTTCACTGAAGGAACTTACATTCTTTTACAAGGTGGATTGTAATATATTCACTGATGAATAAATATGTGAATCCACAAAATAAAGTGATTTCATTGTGGGGGGGCACTAACATCAAGAAGATGTGCACTTGGTCTGAGCCTTGAAAGGAGCTAGGCTTCTGAGAGAGAAAACATTCTAAACATATGAGACAGCCATGCAAAAGCATGGCAAACAGAGACAATGCCACATACAACATTGTTTACAACTTTATGCATTATGATCTGCAAAGAATGTGATTGATATTTCTGCCTGTCTGTATTTGTTATTTCTTTATGTCCTTGAGCATTTTCATTTTTTTTTGTAAAGGCATAGAGATGCCAAAAAATAGATGTGTAAGGTTCTCCTTCAATAATTTTAAAGGCTTCATCACATGTAGTTTTTCTGACATTCTGTCCAGATCCTTAATTTCTTTTTTTATCTTTCCATTAGATTTGTGTCAATCTGATGAAAACACATGAAAGTCAGCATTGTCCTATTCTCTACATTTTCTTGTAATTTAGCAAGCTTTTCTTTTAAGTACTTATGGGATATATTATTTATTGCATCTAAATTTAATACTAGTATTTTTCATTATTTAAGTGCTGATAGTGGTCTGGACTATTGTGATATATATGTGGGGAGAGAGAGAAGTGATGTGAGAGATATTATACAAATAGGAATGATAAGATTTGGCAACTAAATGGTTGTGTGTGGATTGATGGAGAGTGTAGACTGATGATAATAACAGCAAGCTTGCAAACTTGAGTGACAAGAAGGGAAGTGATATTCTTGACCGGGGAAAGGAAGTTTGGAAGATGAGAAGGGGAATAAGTTCAGTTTTGTATGTATTAAGTGAAGATGTCTATAAGACTTCCAATTTGAAAGGTCTAATGGACAGTTAGTCATGTATGACTGAAGCCCAGGAGAAAGACTAGCACTGGACATGTAGATCGGGGAGTAACTAGTTATGATATTTCAACCCATGAGAGCTGATAAGATCACAAAGTGAGCGAGTGTAGTGAGAAAAGAGAAGAGGGGTGCATCCATCATTAGTGGGCATAGTATGGATAATGATCCAGCAAAGGAGACTGAGAAAGAGTAGATCACCTAGAAAGAAGAAGCAAAAGAACAAAAAAAAATTAGAGAGGAGAGTGTTTAGGCGGAAAGGTTGATCACTAGTGTGAAGTACTTTGGAAGTCAGGAAGGATGGGGATTTAGCAAAGGTCATCAGATTTTACAATTAAGCCACTATTGGTAACTTTCATAAAGACATTTAAGTTGAGTGATGACATTAGAAACCATATTATAGTGGGTTTGGAAGAGAATGACAGGAGAAGATGTGGAGGCAGTGAGTGTAGATGATTTTTTTTTTTCAGGGAGTTTAACAAAGAATGGTAAGAGATATTAAAAAAAAAGTAGGTGGGATGGTGGGATCTAATGATTTTTTAATAGATGGGGGAGGTTAGACATGAGTATATTTGTAGGCAGCAGGGAAGGAATCAGTAGATATAGGGAGAGAGAGAAAGGGGGAGAAAATGAGAGAGATAGAGAGACAGACACACACACACACACACAGAGCACACGCAGGTGGGGAGAGGGGAGAGAATAATAATTCTGACAGTCTTCTAGAGAAGATGCAAATGAACAAGATCAAAGAGTTGGCCTTTTTAAAGAGAGACATCCCATTCCATTACGTTATTTCAAAGCATCCTTAAAGATATAACTATATCTTCCTGCCTAATTTTTCTCAGAGGCAGTTGTGCATAGTTGACAGGAGTTGATAAGAGACCAGCCTTGGAGTGAAGAAGACCTGGGTACAAGTCCTCTGACACATATTTGCTGTGAAATTATGGGATAGTTGCTTATTCTCTTATGTCTTCGAGGAAGCTCTCTAAGATTATATGTTACAGGTGAGTGGCTGAGCTGCACAAGTGCAGGGAATTCACCATACCAATGAATTAATAAATCTAGACACTGTATACTCCCAGCCCCCCTCCCATTCTCATTGAGCAAGAAATTAAGTAGCTCAGTTTTCATAGGCACCAGTAGACCCATAATCTGGCATTCAATCACTCTGCTAATTCTTACTATATGTAGGAACTTGGTTCTCTTGGCCTCAGTTTCTCCATCTGTAAAATGAGGATGTTAGAGTGATGTCTCTTCTAGTTCTAGAACTATGGTATGATGTTCCTTGGATGGATTAGATTTAGACCATCACTTGGAGATGAGGTATTCCATTAGGCTTCTCACTACCCGAGCCAAATCCATGGCACTCATCTAAATTGTGATGGGATACACATATATTATATTTTATTTTTTGGCTAGGCAATAGGGTTAAGTGACTTGCCCAGAGACACACAGCTAGTGCGTATTGTGTCTGAGGTCAGATTCGAACTTAGGTCCTCCTGACTCCAGGGCCAGTGCTCTGTTCACTGCACCACCCAGCTGCCCTGATACGCATATATTTTAAAAGGAATTTGGACTAAAGTAGTTAATACCATCCTTCATTACTGTCGTGTGTTTCTATAGTAAGGCAGGAAAAAAAAAACACATACAATCTAGTTCTCTAATG